GTTCAAGGCCAGGTTGGACACAGGGGCTTGGAGCAGCCTGGTCTAGTGGAAGGTGTCCCTGCCTGAGGCAGGGGGTTGGAACTGGATGAGCTGTAAAGGTCCCTTCCAACCCAAACCAGTCTGTGATTCTGTGATTATATACTTGTGTTGGTTATCAAAATCCAGACTAAGCTTGTATTGGTTAGCCTTAAATTCTTCAGTTATCTCTATTGACCTTCAGATAAATATTAAAAAATCCCTATATTTTTTGCCAGTTCAATAAATGTTTAGTAAAGGAACCACCGTCTTTGTGTGGATGACATGAAAGTAAAGATTTGAAAAGACCTACTAGTGATAGTCTGGCTTTCTCCAGATAAAGTTAATTGGTAAATGTTGAAATGTAATTGATACATGTGGTTCTTCAGCCTGAGGGCCTGCTGAAGAAAATGCAATTGTGCTTTCCTTAAAAATCAGGAAGAGACTTTCAGAAAGCCTTTTACATGCACCCAAGACTAATAAACAGTGATTTACATGAGACTATGCTCTCAGCTCCTATTTCTCATGGCAATTTAAGGTAAGAGAGGGCCTTAAAATACATGATCATGTATTGTTTTAATTTCCATGGTACAGATCAACTGGCAGAATTCTGCTCCAGTGTGTGTGCAGAAGCTCGTTATTACAATATTTGATCTCACATTCATGAAACAAACAAACAAACAAAACCCAAACCCAAATGAAATAAACACTGTGTGGGAACCAGTTTTGACTCTAGCTGACACTGATACTTCCACTGGGGTATGCTTAAGCTTCTAGCTACTGTAACTTTAAGCTTAAGCTTTATGCTTTTAGCATCATTTAATTAGTGCCAATTAGGGAGTAACAGTACTCAGCCCCATTATTATTTTTTTTTTTCCACTCCTTGTTTACTCTTGTGTTTAGCAAAGATTTAGATTTAAATTTTCATGTCTGATGACAGATAATTTTTGGTAGTGCATTTTAGCAGCTCAGGTCAGTACTTGCAATTGTAGACTTGCACGGCCACAAATGCCTCTAGCACACCTGCAGCCTCTTTCACGGCAGTGGTAGTTCACTGGAACATGCAGCTTCTTTACAGATTAAAGTTCCCTAGTATTGCAGTCATACCAAGTTTTTCTGTGTCGTATTTGGAATCTGTATTCATGTGCAATGCGTAAGTTTTGAATTGGAATGTTTGTGTCTTGGCCATGCTTGGTGTGAAAGATCACAGTGAAATGTGATGGTTGCAGTCATGTTCCTCAGGCTGCTCCTTATTCCTAATGACTTGTTTCAGTTTAAGAACACTTTTTTTTTGTCTTTCCCATGGGCTTTTAGCTATATTGTAGCAGCTCATGCATTAAAACTGAACGGTTGTAAGAGTTCAATTCACATGACTGATGAATCACACTATAATATTATAAATTCCAGTGAACCAGCACGAAACAAACAGTCCAGAGTTTATCTGGGTGTAAAAGATTTGTACATGTTTGCCATGGCTCCTCTCCAAAAAGTAGCCTGATTTCTATGCTTCTGTGAATGCACATACATCACACCAGTAACATTTTGATACTTTGTCTATATGCTTTCCCGTGCAGAATAGTAATCTGGTGTTGCCCTTGATCTTCAGTAAAGTTCTGATCTTACAGATTTCATCACTACAGAAGAACCAAGATACTGACTGCTTCCAGTTTTTGTGAATACTTCCACAGAAATTGGTTTTAACCGTTGTTTTCATAGAAATTAATGTCTCTTAGGTATTAAAACTGTGAGTTGCCTTGAAACTAACTTTTGTTGTAGATTTTCCATCCTAGTTTCAGTTGGAGATTATTTTGTGTAATTCTTTTTGACTGAAAGAGTGCTTGCATGCAACTTTTTAAAATACTTAGATAGTTGGCTTTAGAAAAAATCTTACTAGAGAATAAGCTCTTCAAAAAACAAACTGTTCTATGAGCAATAGAGCTGATAAAGCCTACTTTCTGCCAGATTTATGCTCTTTATCTTTCTCCTCCTTCCCTCTGCAGTGCCTCCCCTGTCATCTACCTCTTTTGCTGGCCATGCAGCAGCACATGCCACGGCAGGTGCTGGAGCTGTGTTGACTTCTACCTTTTGGAGTGGTTAAGATGTGAGTCTTAATACCTGCCTTTTCTACATAGCAGATACTGATTTGGGTGTCTTCCACTAGCAGCTGGTTGTTTTGGGGTGGGATTGCTTTGGGGCTTGAACAAATTTGGTCTGTTTTCAAATTTGATTGAAGCTAGATAGCAGATTTGAAAAGCAACCAGCAGAGGGAATAATCAACAGAATCTCTGTTACAAGTGGTTTAGTGAATTCTTGATAAACTGTTCCTGGGCAGAGAAATTGTAAAAAAGCTTCCGTTGCACAATACTTTGTCTTTCCATTCATTTTTCTACTGTAGTTTGTTTATGTGTTCACTTGAAACGTAGCTTTCTACCCTCTTTCTTTACTTTGCATTCAGTCTGACATAAGTGCACATGCTCCAATGTAGAGACCATAGTGCTGGACAAGTGAACTGCAACCACAGCCTAAAGAGTGGAACATGAACATTGTTCTGGGAAATGCCATAGGGACAGAAACTTTCAGAAGCTGCTTTTGCCTGGAGATTGGAGTAGGTGACTTCCTGAAGTCACTTCCAATTCCACGTATCTTGTGACTCTGTGATCCTATTCCTAGTCAGAGCATTGGGAAGTTTTGTATATCTGGTTTGAAAACATTCTTGCCATCTTTTAAGATGTTTTATTTTCACCTATGAGGATTTCAGCCATATAGAAACCTGACTTTAAAAAAGAAAAAAAGGGGGGGAGGGGGA